AGTAATAAAATGATAGTAATTATCATATTATTGCAATAGTAATGATAATAATGATAACTATAATAATAGTGATAAAAAAATAATAACAATTATGCTAATACTACTAATGATAAGAATAACAACAACAATAATAACAGTAATAATACTAATAATGATAATGATAAAAACAACAAAAATGATGATAATGATAAGAATGATAATGATTATAGCAAAAAAAAAAAAAAAAAGAATAATAACAATAGTGCTAACAACAAAGATGATATTGATAAGTAAAATAACAATGATGTTAATAGTAGTAATATCCATGAATAATCATAAAATTGTGGTAAAGACACAACAACGATGATGATAATGATGAAAATAATCAACAACAACAGCAATGATGACAATAATAATGATAATAATAATGATAATGATAATAATACTAATGATGATAATGATGATAATAATGATAATAATAATGATAATGGTAATGATAATAATAACAATAATAATAATGATTAATAATGATAATAATGATAATGATAATAATGATAGAAATAATGGTAATAATAATCAGGATAGAAAAATGATGATGATGATGATGATAATAATACTAATAATGATAATGATAACGATAATGATTATAATAATGATAATAAAAAGACTAATAATTATATAAATAACAACAATAATGATGATGATTATGATGATGATATGATAATAACAATAATACTAATAACAATAATGATAATGATAATGATAGTAATAGATAATGATAATGATAACAAGAACAACAATAATAAAAACATAATAATAATAAAGCATAATAATAAACATAATGATAATAACAACACAATAATAATAATAACAATGACAACAACAACAACAAATAACAAAGAAAGAGAAAGAGAAAAAACGAAATAAACACAACAAATAAAACACACAAAGAGAGAGAATAAACGAAATAAAACACAACAACACGAATAACAAACAAAATAACAACAAAAACAAATAACAACATTAAACAAATAACAACAATAAACAAATATAAACAAATAACAACAAATAAAAAGAAACAGAAGAGATAATAAACCTAAACAAACACAACGAACAACACAACACCAAATACCAAAAAAAAAAGAAAAGAAATAAAACGAAATAAAAACAAGATTAAGAGACTCCTCCCTTCTCCCTCGCGCAGTCAGCACGTCATTCGTCGGCCTCGCTAATGCTGTAACATTCGCATTCACACAACGGATATCCTCGCTGAAGGGCCCCCCCCTCCCCCCTCCCCTCCCTTCCCCTCCCCCTATCCCTTCCGTCCTTATGATCTCCTTTGATCCTGCTTTATCCGGCTTTTTCTTCTGGTTCTTCTTCGTCTGATTTCTTCTCATTTATCCACTTCTCTTTCTAGTTCCTTCTTCGTCTCTTTTTGCTCCTACTTTATCACTTCTCTTTCTAGTTGCTTCTCTGTCTGATTTCTCCTTCCTTTATTCCCCTCTCTTTCTAGTTCCTTCTTCGTTTTTTTCCCTACTTTATTCCCTTCTCTTTCTAGTTCCTTTTCCGTCTGATTTCTCCCTCCTTTCTGCCTCCTTTATCCCTTCTCTTTCTAGCTCATTCTTCGTCCCTTTTGCCCTACTTTATCCCCCTCTCTTTCTAGTTCCTTCTTCATCTTCTTTCCCTTTCTTTTTGCCTCCTTTATCTCTCTCTTCAGCTCCTTCTATTTCCAGCTCCTTTTTACTCTTTTTCTCTCCTTTTTAGCTCCTTCTTCGTCTTCTTTCCAGCTCCTTCTTCTCCTGCTTTCCACCTTCTTTTGGTTTTTTTTTACTCTTTTTCTCTCCTTTTTAGCTCCTTCTTCGTCTTCTTTCCAGCTCCTGCTTCTCATCTTTTCCAACTATTTTTGTTCTTTTTCTCTCCTCTTCCTTTTCTTTAACTTTTAGCCTCCTTCTCCTCCTCCTTTTCCAGCTCTCTTTTTTCTCCTTTCCAGCTCCTTTTGGTTCTTTTTCTCTCCTTTTCCTTTTCTTTCTATTTAGCTCCTTCTTCTCCTCCTTTTCAACTCCTTTTTTGTTCTTTTTCTCTCCTTTTTCCATCTCCTCATTTTCTCTCCTTTTCCATCTCCTTCTTCTCCTTTTCTCTCTCCTTCTAACTCTCTCTCTTTTTCTCTCCTCTCACTTTTTAGCATCTTCTTTTCCTATTCTTTTCTTTTCAAGTTTCTCTTTTATTCATTTCCTTTCTTCCTTCCAGCTCTGTTCTCCTTTCTCCCCTCTTTCCATCTCTCTCTCTCTCTCCTCCTTTTCTCTCCCCGTTTATTATTCTCCATCTCTTCCTCTTTCTTTCTTCTCTTCTTTCTTATCTTTCTTCCTGCATCTATCACTTATTCTCTCTATCTATACTCTTCCCCTTCTTCATGTGTCTTCCCCTTTTCCTTTCCACATCCTATGTATTCCCCTCTCTATTTCTTCTTCTTCCCTATCCTTCTTCCTTCTTTATCTCTTTCTCTCCTCCTTCTACCTCATCCCTTTATTGGCTCCCTCCTTAACACCTGTTAGTTTCTTTATACCCTATTCCTTATACTTTATCTGCTTCTTCGTTAATTATCTTTCTTTAGCTTTTTCTCTCCTCTCTTTTCCTGTGGCTTTTTTTCTTTTTTTCCCACTTCCCTTTTCCTCTCTTCTGTGTCTGTTTTCTCCCCTCTTTATCATTCGTTCCTATATTTTCGTGTTATGATCTCCATTTCTCCCCCTGATTCTCTCTTTCTCTCCTCACTGTTATCCTTACTCCCCTTTCCCTTCTCCTCTCCTTCCTCCATTTCTCCTCACTTCTTCCCTATTCCCCCTCCTCAAAAAAAAAAAAAAAAAGCAGAAGGCCAAGCAAGCAAAACAACTCAAAAACAACCCTAAGCAAGTAAATTTCCTATCCTGTTCCCTCGTTTCTTCTTTTCTTCCCTTTTTTTCCCTTTCTCTCTCTCTATGTCTCTCTATCTCTTTCTTTTTCTCTCTCCTCACCCCCTCTCTATCTATCTCTATCTCTTTTTTTTCTCTCTCTCTCGCTCCTTTCTTTTATCCCTCCCCCCCCCTCCCCCTCTCTCTTTCTCCCTCCCTCCCCCTATCTCTCTCTCTCTCTCTATCTATCTATTTCTTCTCTTTTCTATCTCTCTCTACTCTATCTATCTTTCTTTCTCTTTCTATCTCTCTATCTATCTATCTCTTTCTTTCTTCTTCTATCTCTCTCTCTCGCTCTTTCTTTTTCTCCCTTCATCCCTCCTCCCTCTCCCTCACCTTCCCTCCCTTCCTCCCTCGCCTCCCTCTCCCTCTCTCCCCCCGCCTCTCTCTCTCCCTTCCTCTCCCTCCCTACCTCCTTCCCTCTCCCCCTCCTCTCTCTCTTCTGTTGTTTCTTTCTCTTCATTATTTATATTTTTAATCTTTTTTTCTCTTTTTCTTTCTTTACCAGCGAGTCAGATCGACCTTCGGGACAAGTCAGTCACTCAGGTCACGGCAGGACAAACCCTCTCTCTCTCTATCTATCTGTCTATCTCTTTTCTCTCTCTCTCTCGCTCTTTATTTTTCTCTCCCTCCTCCCCCCCTATTTACCTCTCTTCTCTCTATCTATATCTCCTCCTTCCCTCCCCTCTCTCTCATCCCCCTCTCTCTCCTCTCTGTTCTTTTCTCTCTTTTATTGTTTCCTCACTTCTATTGTTTTTTGTTTTTCTATTTGCTTTCTTTTTTTTTCTTTTCTCTTTTTATTGTTTATCTTTTTACATTTTTTTTTCTTTTTCTTCTCTTTACCAGCAAGTCAGATGACCTTCGGGAAGTCAGTCGCTCAGGTCACGCAGACAAACCCTCTCTCTCTCTCTCTCTCTCTATCTATCTATCTGTCTATCTCTTTCTCTTCTCTCTGGTCTCTCTCGCTCTTTCTTCTTCTTCCTCCCTCCCCCTCCTCCCTCTCTCTCTCTTCTCCCTCCCTCCCTCCCTCCCTCTCACCCCCTCTCTCTCCTCTCTTTCTGTTATTTTTCTTCTCTCTTCTACTGTTTATCTTTTTTCTCTTTCTTTTGTTCTTCTATTGTTTCTTTTTTTATTTTTTTCCTTTCTTCTTTTACCAGCAAGTCAGATCACCGTCGGGACAAGTCAGTCACTCAGTCACGCAGGAGAAAACCCTCTCTCTCTCTCTCTCTCTCTATCTATCTGTCTGTCTATCTCTTTCTCTTTCTCTCTCTCTCGTCTCTCCTCTCTCTCTCGCTCTTCGTTCTTTTCTTCCTCTCCCCTCCTCTCTTCTCTCTCCTTTCTTCCTCCTCCCTCTTTTCCCTCCCTCCTTCCTCCCCTCTCTCTCTCTCTTTTCTGCTGTTTTTTTTATTGTTTCCTCACTTCTATTGTTTCTTTTTTTTCTTTCCTTTCTTCTTTTACCAGCGACTCAGATCCACCTTTCGGACAGGTCATGTCACTCAGGTCGGCCAGGACAAAACTTATTTACCGCCGCCTGGGTCGGGCGACCGCCTCAGGAGACGCGGCTCTGCAGGTTGGTAACAGCATCCGACATTTCCTGGTGGTTTAGCCTAATGCTCCGAGGCTCGCTCCGGCTTGCCCCTCCCCCCCCGGCTCGCTTGGCTTGAATTCGCTTGATTTTGACTTGGTTTGGGTTGATTTTGACTTGATTTTGGTTGAATTTGACTTGATTTTGGTTGATTTTGATTTGATTTCGTTTGCTTTTGGTTGATTTTTACTTGATTTTGACTTGGTTTTGCTTGAATTCGCTTGCTTTTGGTTGATTTTGATTTGATTTCGTTTGCTTTTGGTTGAATCGCTTTGCTTTTGGTTCGCCTGGTTGCTTGTCCTTGCTCGTCTTGGCTTGAAATTCGCTTGCTTTTGCTTGAGTTTTACTTGATTTCGTTTGCTTTTGTTTGAAATCGCTTGCTTTTGGTTGAAATCGCTTGCCTCGGCTTGTCCTGGCTCGCCTTGACTTGAATTGGCTTGCATTGGCTTGCCCTTTCTCGTCTTGGCTTGACTTTGCTTGCATTGGCTTACCCTGGCTTGAATTCGCTTGCATTGGCTTGCCCTTGCTCGTCTTGGCTTGACTTTGCTTGCATTGGCTTGAATTCGCTTGCATTGGCTTGCTCTTGCTCGTCTTGGCTTGAATTCGCTTGACTTCGCTTGTCCTTGCGTGTCTTGGCTTGACTTCGCTTGCATTGGCTTGCCCTTGCTCGTCTTGGCTTGATTTCGTTTGCTTGCTTGCATTGGCTTGCCCTTGCTCGTCTTGGCTTGACTTCGGTTGACTTCGCTTGCACTGGCTTGGCCTGGCTTGAATTCGCATGCCTTAGCTTGGGTAGCTGGGCTTGCAATTCTTTTTCGAATGAATTACAAGGATTTTCTTTTTCGTTTTAGCTTTTATTTCTATTGGCAAGGAAAATTCCATTACTTTGATCATTATCATTTTCATTATCATTACTACTACTTCTATCATTATCATTGTTGTCACTATGATCATTATTGTTAACATAAATGTTAATATCATTACTATAATTATTAATATCATTGTCTTCGTCATTATCATTATTGTCGTCACTATTTTTGTCATTGTCATTATTGTCGTCACTATTTTTGTCATTGTCATTATTATCTTTATTTTTGTCATTATTATTATTATTATTATTATTATTATTATTATTATTATTATCAGTATTATTATTATTCATTATATTATTATTATTATTATTATTATTATTATTATTATTATTATTATTATTATTATATTATATTATTTTTTATCATTATTATTATTTTCATTATTAATATTATTATCATAGTTATTATGACTATTACTATAATTTTTATCACATCTATTATTTTCATCACAATAATCATTTTTTTTTACTATTACTAGTTTTACTAGTATCGAGATAAGCATTCGCATTATTATCACTATTAATATTACCATTAATAGTAGTATTATTAGCAATAGCAGTAATGACAGCATAAGTAGTATCAGTATTAGTTTTATTGTTAATATTAATTTTAGATCAATATTAATATCATCATTCATACTGTTGAGTTTATTACAATGATGATCATCATTATCATAATTATCATACTTTATCTGCAATATCTTTCTTGCTCCCTTACGTGTTATGATTAGCAACACTGCAGCATACTTTTCTGTTTATGCTACATAGCAACAACAACAACAACAACAACAACAAAAACAACAACAATGCTAATTATGATAACATCTAATTGCATAAATGATATTGACTTGCTCTAATGGTGAGGTTCCTGTTTTGTAATTCTGTTTTCTATATTCCTGTTGTTATTATTAAAAAGTTATCATTGTATGTTTTGTTATTAGTGTGTTTTATCAACGTTTGTGTTTCATCTTCATTTGTTATTTGTTATTGGTGAAATGTTTGTGGGTTGAACAATAATGTTCTAAGATATTTTTCAGGTCTCTCATCCCTCTCTCTGTCTGTCTGTCTGTCTGTCTGTCTATCTCTCTCTCTCTCACTGTATCGTTCTCCATCTCTATATATCTTTTTTTTTTCAGACCCCCTTTCTCTATCATTCCCTCCATCTTTCCTCTCTCTCTCTTTTTTTTTTTTCTTTCTCTCTCTCTCTCCCACTCCCTCCCATCTTTCCCCCTCTCTCTCTCTTTCTTTCTTTTCTTTCTCTCTATCTCTCTCTCACTCTCCTCCCTCTCTCTCTCTCCTCTCCTTCTCTATCTCACTCTCTCTCTCCTCCTCCTCCCCCCTCTCACTCCTTCTTCCTCTCTATCTCTCTCTCCTCCTCCCTCCTCTCACTCCTTCTTCCTCCCTATCTACCCTTTCTCTCGTTTCGCTCGATCGCTCGCCAAGTTAGCCATTTCCCGCTACACAGAAAAGGCTCCGCTGCGTCGAAATCGCTGTGATTGGCAACACTGTTTATGCGAGGCACGAGCAAGCAGCGCTGCCAATGCTAGTTTGCTGAGTGAGAATACAACTTTAGGGTGAAAGGTTTTCCGTCTATTTTTGTATCAATTGTTTCTTTTTTTTTGTTCTTCCTGGCTCTCGCTTTCTTTATCATTTTTGGTGGGTTTTTACTTGTTTTCTTTTTTTTTTTACTGATTTTTTTTAATTATTTTTTTTTTACTGACTTTTTTTTCTTTTTTTATACTGATATATATATATATATTATATATATATATATATATTATATATGTATATATATAGTATATAGTATAATATATATTATATATTATTATATATATATATATATATTATATATATTATATATAATTATATTATTTATATTTCTTTATTTTTCCTTCTTTTTCATTTTTTTGTATTTCTTCTACTTCTACTCATCTTTTTATTAGTCATTTTCTTGCATTTTTATCTTTATCTTCTCTCTCCTCCTTTTTATCACTTATCATACCTCCTATTCTTTTTCTTCCTCTCCTTCCCTTTACTTTTCTTTTCCTTCCTCTCCTCTCTTTTCTCCTCCTCCTCCTCCTCTTTTCTCCTACTCCTCCCTCTCCATCACTCGTTCTTACCGCCGCTTGTTCCCTCCTTCCGCACTTGAAAAGGAAAATGTCAAACAGTAATATTTATAATGTAAAGTAGATATATATTTTAATTTGATGTTGATTGCAACTTGTCTGATAAATGACGATTGAGTTCGAAGCACTGCCTCTGGGTTTTTGTGTGTGAGAAGACGATGTAATATATATATATATATATATATATATATATATATATATATATATAAAGTATATAATATATATTATTTATATTATATTGTGTGTGTGTGTGTGTGTGTGTTGTGTGTGTGTGTGTGTTGTGTGTGTGTATGTGTGTGTGTGTTGTGTGTGTTGTGTATTATCTATTTCTTTCTTTTCTTTCTATCTTACATCTATCTATCTATCTTCTTATATATGTATGTATGTATGTAGTATCTATCTTATCTGTATCTATCTATCTTCTATCTATCTATTATCTATCTATCTATCTATCTATCTATCTATCTATCTATCTATCTTCTATTATCTATCTATCTATCTATCTCATCTATCTATCATCTATTCTCTATCTTTTGGTTTTATTGTGATTCCAATCATTATTTCACTATCACTATATCAATTATATCATCACCATCCTTCTTCTCCTCCTCTTCTTCCTCATCATCCTCACCATCTTTATAAAACCTCAGTCTTCCTCATCCTCATCCCATCCTCATCCTCCTTCTGCTCATTATCATAATTATCCTCCTCTTTATTCATATCATCATAATCATTATCCTCCTCCTCATCTTTCTCTTCTCTTTCTCCCATATCTTATTCCTCCTCCTCCTCTTATTCATCATTTATCATTATCTACATAATCATTATCCTCCTCCTCCTATATCATCACCATCATCGTCCACCAAAAAAACTCTTCCTCCTTTCTTTTATCATTATCCTCATNTAATCACTTGAATGTTGATTAGCAGACTTGTCTGATAAATTGAACGATTAGAGTTCGAGAGCACTGCCTCTGGCGTTTGGTCTGTGTGTGAATTTAGACGTTTGTAAAGGAGTATATATATTGTATAGTATATATATTATAATTAGTATATATATATTATACAATATATTATATCTATCTAATAGTATTAGGTGAGATATATTGGTGTGTGGTGTGTTTGTGGTGTGTGTGTGTGTGTGTGTGTGTGTGTGGTGTCTGTGTGTGTGTGTTGTGTGTGTGTGTGTGTGTGTGTGTATCTATTATCTATCTTTCTAAATCTATCTATCTATCTTATCTATCTATCTATTTCTTATATATGTAGTAGTGTCTGTATGTATGCTATCTCTATCTATTATTTATCTATGTATCTATCTATCTATCTATATCTATCTATCTATCTATCTATCTATCTATCTATCAATCTATCTATCTATCTATCTATCTATATCTATCTATCTATCTATCTCTCTATCTATATTGTTTTATTGGTATTACCATTATCATTATCACTATCACTATTATCAATTATATCATCACCATCCTTCTTCTCCTCCTCTTCTTCCTCATCATCCTCACCATCTTTATCAAAACCTCAGTCTTCCTCATCCTCATCCCCATCCTCATCCTCCTTGCTGATCATTATCATTAATTATCCTCCTCTTTTTATCATATGCATCATAATCATTAGTCCTCCTCCTCATCTTTCTCTTTCTTTCTCCCATCATCTTATTCCTCCTCCCCTCTTATTCATCATCATTATCATTATCATCAACATAAATCATTATCGCTCCTCCTCCTTATATCACCATCATCGTCCACCAAAAAAACTCTTCCTCCTTCTCATTTTCATCATTATCCTCATCCTCGTCTCCCTTCTCCTCCTCTTTATCAACATCATAATCATTATCCTCCTCCTTCTCCTCTTCCTCATTATCACCTCACATATCCTCCTCCCTAATTCCTTATCCTCTGCTCATCTCCTCGCTAATTATCCTCCTCACTCCTCATCCACCTCAGCTCATCATTATCCTCGCTCCTCCTCATTTCCTCATTCCCACATATCCTCCTCCTATTCCTCAATTATCCCTCCTCCTTCTCCTCTCATCATTATCCTCCTCCTCCTCTTCCTCATTATCCTCCTCTCTATATTTCTCTTATTATCCTCCTCTCTCATCCACCTCACATATCTCTCCTCTTCCTCCTCCTCCTCATTTCCTCCTCCTCCTCCTCCTCATCCCCTCACACTATCTCCATGACAAATCCTCACACACATTCTCTATCCACTCTCACATCGACGAAGAAGAACCACATTCGTTTGCATTCATCACGCTAACTCACATATTCACTTCGTTTGTTTAAAAGTAAATGAGTTTCGGTGACAAGAATGAGTTAAATTCTATTCTGCCGTGAAGGTCTTGTGTTCAGGAAATGCAATGTTCTTTTTCTATCGCTTTTTTGTTATTTTTTTCTTTTATTTTCTTTTATTTTATTTTATTTTCTATCACTCTCCTCTCCTCTCTCTCTCTTTTTTTTTTTTATTTTTTTTTTTTTACTTCAGTTTTCCCTTGGATATTACAGCTATGATTGAATTAAAGACAATATGTAATGAGGTAAGGGAGGGAGAAGAGAGGAGAGGAGAGGAGGAAGGAAGAGGAAGAAGAAGGAGACAGAGGAATTCTGAATAATAGGGATGAGAATGGAGTGAGTGATCTGTTTAGGAGTTGTGTGTGTGTGTATTTGTAGACTTGTAGATACACATGTACACGAATATACGTACACAGATAGAGATACTTGTGCACATGTGTATGCGCGCGCTCACACACACAC